GAGGTAGTAAAACCCACACGTGATTGAGTTGATAGGTGGTGTTTAGGTTGAAGTTGAAAACACCAAGGGATCTGTGAAACAGCAATTCAAATATGGAATAATTTTGCATTCATTACAAATTTGTGAATGTTTTTTTTGTTACGCAGAATTTAACATTCTTTAGCATAGCGAGTTATTCGAATACGGATTGCGATTCTGGGACCAAGCTGGTATATTTCCATCTTTCTTGAAATATTACGAATCAGTCGCTTATTCTGTATATTTTAAAAATTTTGACGATGAATTAATTTTTACTGAAAACATATCGAAACACGAGCTCTTTGTTGTTCATACTACTTAGTAATTGCATCATCGAATATCTCCCAGCGACCCGCAAATGAGACATGCGATCTCTCGCCGCTCAAAATACTTTCACGGTTAACTTGATGATAATGTCAGTTAATATTAATTTTCTCTTTAACGATCCTCAAAGGCAGACCTAGTCAAACTTCAGACAGTACCTTTATTTCTGTACGTTTAGATACACATTTAGATTACGTCTCTGAAAAATGTATAATGGACATCCAGCTTGAGACATGAAAGAAAAAAACTTTCATTTAACCAATGGTAATAGCTTAGCTAGGTGACAGTTTAGATTTAGGCATGCGTGGTCTGTAGCTCATTCTTAATTACTTTTTTACTTCGCCAATCTCGACCAAAATTTTCATAATTAAGTGGCTTGGGCGTTCGAACCCCCACATTCTTTTCCCCAATCATGGTAAAATCTAGACAAATCGGCCACCGTGCTAGTAGGAATTGTATGAATCATAGCAGTAATGATATATTTGAATATTTAAACCATCCCGCATTGTTGCTCCCAATGACATGACTCGCTATGTAAACCGTCAGAAGGTGCGACGCATTTCATAAGGTAAGATTAACTACATGTGCACAATATACAGTGAGCGCACATATATGCCGCTTGCTCGCTTCCATTGCCGCCCGGATCTCGCATGTGTGCCAATTACAGGAATTTAGTTTCATCTCAACGACCGGAATGCGACTCCAAGCGACCTACGGGCACCAATAAACTCCAGCGCGCCCCTATAGGGAATCTGTTGGAAGGCATTCCGGACTGGAATTTCAGATGACCGTGGTTTACATGGAGTGCCACAGGGGCGCTTTGTAGACGCTTCGCTAGCGCCATAACGCAAGGCCATCCCCAGACTCATAATGATAAAGCGAAGCTATTCACAGATGCAGGCGATCACTTAAATAATGAAATGGGTCACAATATCCGTACTAAAGATTGTAGGCAGTGATTAATTACACGAATGAGCCGCAATTCAAGTGAAAAAAATATCGTGGTTATTAAGTCATAGTTCAGGGATTGTTGGTGTTGTAGCTAATTCATATGAGTGCATGTTAATGCAGGTGTAATATAGCAATTTCATTTATTTGCATGCTCTTTTCAGTAGGAAAATTGAGAAGAGTCGAATTTCCAAATAGGAAACAAAGTTATTTGGCGTCGGCTAGCCGAAAGCCGAATCAAATTGTATCTTTGCTATTAACATATTTTTAAATGTGTTGGACGTACCCATCCGTTAGATAGTGACTTCGACTACACAACAGACAAATTTTTATATCACGAAAAACTATCCACCTGTAAAGAAAAATGAATTCTAATAATTTGAAAGTGAAGCAACAGTGGTTGGAATTTTTCACCATGAGTTAATTGAAAAGGCGTTAGTGACCTGACCCTATACATACAATTTTTTTCATATCTGAATCTAAACTTACAGCTTGGTTGTTCGCATCAGAGCTCTTACCGGAAAACAACGCGCGCGTTCCTTGTTAAAAATACGTCCTCTCTCCTCTATATTTCATAAAAATTCGCAGCAAGCCATAGAGGTCAATTTATCTGAACTAACAAAAGTGTACGAGACTTATTCTTTTCTGAATGCATGAATTTTTAGAAGCGGATTTTCTGAAAATTTTTGCCTCTTCACAAGAACAAAGCATCGGAGAACCTCCGATATAAACCGGACAACTTTTCAAGCCTTGCATAGCAGAGGTAGTTCAAGTAAACAAAATTTATGAAATAACTCCAGTGCAAAGTTTTCGCCAGGCCGCATCTGGCGCGCTTTATTTATTCGACGGGAATTTCGTTGAAGAAGACACTATAACAAACACTCCTAATTTCCTATACTTCTGTATTGAAAGAAGACTCGTTTCGCAGGCACGACGTTCGCGTTAAAGGTTTGTCGGTGATCTTGCCGTTCAGCACCGAGGGCTCGATTCTAAAACAAATTAAAACTTGACAGAATTACGCTTCAAGTGTCCGTTGTTTGAGTGCGAATTTAAAAGCGATCGGAGGCTGCACGAAGAAACAGCAAGACTGGCTAAGCTTGAATTGCTGTTCATATCTTCAGCGCTGAGCGGACATTGTAGAAGAGCAGGCACGCTGTGGAGGAGCTGAATACCGAAATTTTGTCTAGTGAACATGAAAAGCTGCTCGCGATATAATTGGAGCTTTGTAGTAGATTGAAATTTCATCATTTTTGTTGATTTTTTATTAAAAATAGTGTCTCGAGAACGAAGTTAATTCATCTATCATCCCCGTTTATACAGGTTTGGTTGAAGACCAGAGCGTACTTTTTATTTATTTTTATTCAACCAAACCTGTATAAATGAAGAACTTCTGCCTAACTACATTAACATCCCCGTTTAGTGTACGTATGTACGAGTACTTGGTTCAAGATGGTATCCACTTGAAATTCTCTTTCGCATTGTCAACGTCACGTAAATTCCTTCAATAAATTATAAATAATAATCCCATCAACTAAAATCATTCAATCGTGATGAAAGTGAAATATTCTACTGCTGAAAACCAATGTATAGTTGCCTAGACATGCTACACGACTTCAAAAATGCAAGTAAATGCAAAGTTTTCCATTTAATCTGGTAGGTTCCTATGATGGCCCGCGGTAAAACCGAAAAAGAATTGTCGTGCCACCGAATAACCTTTTAGTGTCCCCTATGAACAAGTTGTTTTTAATTGCAGTGATATTTTTGCTCTCTTATTTTTATATAAGAAAAACTTCATTGTGATACAACTGTGCAATGCAATGACGATCTCATCCGTTCCTTTCGAATAATTATTGTGCAGAACTTCTAGTTTTCTTTCTAGTAACTATCACTTAATTACGAAAATGTTGAGCGACTTGTTAATAAAATAATTACACATAATTAATAAATTGTATGATTGCCAAACTTTGAAATAAAATGCGTGCAAGTACTTTTTAACGGGATCAAGTGTTTATTTAATTATATCACTCTATATTAAGTTATATGTAAGGCAATGCCAAGAGAAGCTACATGAATGCTCTAAAATATATGAGAATGACCACGGCCAGTTTATGCCTCCGTAACTGACGTTGCTGTAACATTCAGAGGAGAGTTACGCAGTGCAAATCTTAATGGTCAAAGTTGAACGCTCCTGATCGCAATAGCTGCCTTCAACTGCCACGGGCTTTACATTTTGTTCTCCAACCTAAAAACATTGGCTTTTGTTTAAGTGGAACTCAAGTGGTATGATTTAGGGTAATGATGGAAGTTTGAAAGCTTAAGTGTAGTAACGTTTAAATAAAATCAAATAATATTTGCAAAGGCTTTAAATGTAGAAACGTTCGTCCACTCAAGGTGCTCTTTAGGTAAAAATACCAGTACGCAAGAAACGAGAATGATCAACTTTATGTGATCATTTATTTTACTACGTGTTTCGATTTAAAACTGGGATATCTATATTTCCTCAATCAACTGAAATTTTACGAATTAAATATCCTGACGAGAGATTTATTAGAGCTTCGGTAGACGAATCTCTACGGCAATTCCAGGAACAGATTAAAAAGCCCGAAGTAAATGACAACATATGAGAGAAAATCATAATAAAATCATGCTTTGCTTTCCGAATTTATGATATTGTTAGCAAAAGAAAAAAAATATTCACTTAAAAGCAAGGTTATCCGATTGTAAAATCGTAATTTGTAACAGAGAATTCCAAGTCATGACCGCGGTCTTCGGACGGTAGCTAAGCGGAGTACAAACAGGCTGAATAAATTTAAGTAAATTTTTGCTTCAGGAAGCTGCTTCATTTTCTATACATAAGACAAATATTCAATTTGTGTACGTTAAATCGCATGCATCATTATTTAGGGGAATCAATTACAACGGAATTAAAGGATCAGCTATTTAATAGTTGTAAGAATTTTTCAGGTATTGGAGGTCACTATAGTTTGCCTCGCGAGAACACTTTTAGAGAAATTTTCTGACAATTATACCTGAATTTGAATAAAAAATGCATTGATTGTTTCACTGATATTTAGATCTCGATTGTAAGCTAATTGTTGCTGACCTGAACAAATTACTTAGTTCAGAATTCGAAATAATCAAGAGAAAAATAGCATTAAACTTTCAATTCCGAGTAGTTTGCGACCTTGAGCAGGCAGGGCGCTCGAAAAAATTCGCATGTTAATAAGAAAAAAACTTCGTCCTTGAATTTGAATTGGATTGCACTGCGAAATATTCACTGCGTTCGATGCGAAATAGACTCAAAAGTTTGGTGCACAACACGTGAGCTACACGTGCGTTAAAGTTTAAACTTCCAGCTAATACTGCAGGCTGAAATGCTGCAGGCTGAAGTGTTTTTTGGCTGAAGTGCATGGAGTAAAGCCGCGAGCCTCCTCGAGTTGGGCTTCTCAATGGGATATATATTTGAAGTTCCAAAGAAATCTTTGCCTCTAAAATTAATTTGCAATAAATGAATGGCAAAATTTATTTTGGTTATGCCTCAGGCGGGAAATGTTGCAGCGAAACATGCAAGTCCTCGACCGCCATATTGTATTTGACACAACCTTATTCTCAACTAACCCAAATTAATGACCTAGCATTTAAGAGAGCAAAAAACACATTCAATTTAATAAAAAATATTTAGAGTACGTGTAAAAACAGCGGTTACTCACCGGAATGAATCAATAGAAGCAGAAGAAACAGCTGCATCTTGCCGTTGATTTTCTAAGCCTTTCTATTCTCGTTTGCATCCAGTCACAGTCTTCCTGCCAGCTCCGATTTTATGGAGCTTACACTTCAATAAAACGTCAAAATATGAGGTTCAATTCGTTTTTAGATTTTATATTATTATTTAGCTCTAGAAGTTATGGCATTGAAACAAAGTTTTACAGTCAGTACTAATTTTCACTCTCTCACTCATGGAAATTCGTTCTGACGAAAAATATTGTTCTTTCTCTCTATATTGTACTCATGCATACATTATTTTGATCTGAAATAATATAAAATCAGATTATTTATGTATTTTAGCATATTAGTGAGAGAATCTGTTCATACATTTTAATTTATCTGTGACAGAATTTTAGCATATCACATTCAGAGAAAATTTTCATAAAATACCACATGCACTGCTAACATTGCAGAATAGAAACGTAGGAAACGTCTCGAAAAATTACGTAAGAGAAGAATATAAGAATTAGACTTTGAGGCCAGCTTTTAATATAGCTCCATGAGGAACATGCAATCCAGCAATCGTCCATATGGAAGTGTATTGACGAGGTCATGGGGTGTGTTCAGTGTGCGTTACGTTAGGGCGTTCAAATACACTTCACCGCTGTACACCCGGAAAAATCAACGTATAATATTGTCCAAATAACGACGAACCTCCTCACAGCATCTCTAACGGAAAGCGGAAGTAGGTCTGATACTCTCTATATTGGCCGGGCCAAATCGGGTCAGGATGGCCTTTAATAGGACAAAAAGTGCACCGTTATTTGAACAAAGTTTCATCCATTTCTATCAGTGTACACTTCGTGCATGATAACGTTGCTTGCTTTGGCTGCGATCTTTGCCATCAGTTGGGCCAAAAACAGCGCGTGCAGCTTGAATTAAAAACTCTAATTTACCCGATATCAAACAGCAATGTTCAAGAACCTTCAGAAAATGGCTTCTATTATTTAGTAAAATAACTGCACGCGGTTCGTCCACACTCTACATTTAGCATCAGATGGAATAAGGTAAATTTAAATGTGCTCCCAAAACAATTAACATAGAAATTATTTGAAATTTTATTACTGACAAACTTCGCGAACTACTCAATAAAGCTGGATTTTCATTTCACCTGATTTTTCAATCAATAGAAATGCAGGGCAAAGGGAAGAAGCTGTTTAATTTGCCGAGCATGACCGCCATGGGGTTACCCGAAGAATAGCAACGGCTTGATAAACATCGTTTATTTCATTTACAATTTGTTGCGACAATTTGACAATTTCTTCATCTACAATGAAGACCATACATTTGGGGCGGAACAAAGGTGCAACAATAATTTAGGAGATTTAATAATAACGTGTAAATAATCTGAATAGTCTTGTAATACTCAAGCTGCTCAATGAATAGCCAAAAATCTTCTCCAACCTTAATTGGGAACCATAATTGAAATTATTTGTAGAATTTCAGTATTAATTATACATTATATATCTACCAAAGTTTGTGGTTTAGTGGCATGACGCTGGAAATATGTTGAAATACTTTCACAAAAAATATTATTATTAGTTTTTTAGTGATTCGATCATGAGGTTGGAAAATATATATAATTTGAAATTCGATTTTAATATGATTTGGTAATTTTTTAGACCATGAAGAATTTAAGTTTACTGTGAATTCCACACTGAAATTTTAAAGGGAGTTCTATGACAAATGTTGTGTTCTCTGTAATTTCCTTTCCCATGCATTCCGAATTACAGGATTCGGGGTAACAGAATTCGGAATAACGAGACTTGGAATTCTCAAATTCCACGGACTATGTATCACGCGCAATGCCTGGTCGAGCAGCTTAATGATGCAATGTGCAGCGCAAATTATGCTTATGAGTGAAAGGTATAATATTGAAGATGAATAGCCTATTATTCGAGATATAAGAAATATCATGAGCTTACAGCACCAGCATTGTGTCGTAAAAATTAGTTACTTAATTTTATATAAAATTATTAATGACGAAATTGTCTGATATCTTTAGCGATTCTTCATCAACAAGAGAGGCAAAAATCTCATTCCTGTATTCGTCAAAAAACGGTCAAGTTTTAAAATCAATTACCTCTAAAATTATAGAAAAAAGATTATCAATCTGTTCCCTGAAAATACAAATGAGGTTTTCAGCTCTTATTATTTCTGAAACACGTAATATATAATTGTAAAAATTGTAAAGTTGATCATTTGAAGATTCCTTCTTTTTGACCCTGCAAAGTAAACTATGAAAAAATCAATTTAGAGAAGTAACAAGCTGAGATCCGAGAGCTTCCGTGGCTGAGACCGTTTACCTCGACTGACCATCCCAAGTTGCGGCGTAAACTCCTATCTTCGTGCATAATTTCTAAGGGTGACTCCTGAAAACGTTTCCTGAGAGATTGCCTGACTTAGTTTTAGATCTTAGCTTCTCGTTATCCCCAATTACCTGACTTGGCCGAACTATAAGAGCTTCACGAAAATGACGCGATGAGCGGCCAGTATTTCTAAGCCATTATACGGCGACCAAGGAAAGGATAGGCAGAGGGAACACTGAGTTAATAAACAGCGGTAAACTTGGCATTGAAAGACCCGTCTTTCTGTGCTAGGGCGTCTATGGATGACAGTGTACAGAGCAGCATTGAAAAGAGTTGTATGGGAGCGTAGAAAAAGGCATGAAAACTTTTATATTTGATGTAACTACTCTGCACTTAAAATATCTGCTTCAAGTGGGCGAAATTCTTTTCATTCAAAAATGTCGTGCATAGTTTTACTTAGAAGAGAAAATTTTGCATGCGGCATTTTTTATTTATCAAACTGTATTAGACAGAATTAGAAATCAAATCTCCTATTAATAAAATTGATAAATGAAGTAATGATTGTTTCTATATAGTGACGAAACGGCTACATCAAAACTACGACATCTTCTAATAGCTGCAGCATCATTTGAACAAAAAATCGTTTATTTTTACTGTAGCTGGAATTCCAATCATTGAAACACAACGCCTCCGAGATTAATTTTGATTTTTCACATCGACTTTCGATGCGATCAGAGAACGCGTTTCCAGAATAAAAGAAATTAAGCAGTGCCTCATTCCCAATTGTGGCATTCGATTCTCTTCCCACATTCCCAATTGTGGCATTCGATTCTCTTTCCACATTCCCCATTGTGGCATTCGATTCTCTTTCCACATTCCCCATTGTGGCATTCGATTCTCTTACCACATTCCCCATTGTGGCATTCGATTCTTTTTCTCTGGCGTCAATTACAGTCTGGGGGATTGGGCTTCTGCAGCGGCGCTGGCCGAGGGGCATATATAATATTAATGCGTTCCGACGCTGCTCAGTAATGCGGGTCCCTATTTTTCCCAGTCAATTAAAGATGAAAGCAGACCGTGCTATCGACGGAAGCTGCTATGTGATGAAAATGGCCGTGGCTCTGGCATATTGGGCGGCGCATGGACTTCTCTTGTCTGAGGCGCTTCTCTTCAGACAAAAGAATTCAGAAAGGGTCCTGTCTTTCAATTAAATCTTATTCTCTTGGTTTTTTTGTCATTAATGAAGGGATGAAGCATTAGTGCAATGGAAGTTATTTGAAGCCTCAGCAGTCTATCATTGAAAAATTTATTGTTTTATTCCGAAACAGTGCAGTTAGAATTCAGACGTATGCCCAAGAGAAAGACTTATAAGGATTTATGCACACTTTTGTAAGCTTTGGCCATTATTGTTTTTACGTATTTCATAGTATTATTATATCATTGAATACGTTCAAAACCAGATAAGTAAAAGATTAGCATTGCAATCTGATTGTGTGATTTATAATCTTTGCACTTTTGGCATTCGTATCACTCTAAAAAATATTTCCGGATTCATCAATCCAATGTTCCACTATAGGATAAATTGTCGCAGAAATTCAGCTTCAGCTACCGAAATATAGGGAGGCCCTATTAGGCATCCTTCCTTCTTTTAATAGATATGTATACCTAATATAGGCATGAAGACGGTATATAAACGATGCGTAATTTAGTAGCCTATTTGGAGGCCTTATCACACTGATGATTTGTCGGGCGAGGGAGGCTATGGCAGCTATAAGAGTGATCAGAAGCTGTTGACTCGCTTGCATCCAAAGCAAAATTTGCTCGTGAACATCCTTAAATAATGGCAGATGATTACCTCTAACGAGGCCTGCCTGGGCACCCGTAATGGCAGTCATCGTAGCGGCCTGGGCAGGTTGACCTTTGCAATTTAAAACCCTAAGGCCGGGAATAATCCCTCGAGCTTGAGAGGTAATTCACTTAGTGTTCCAAGGTGCATCTTCTAATGCATGTCTTTGTTTCATTTTTTTTCAAAGACGTCCACTGACATTTGTACTTTCAAAGCTATGGGTGTAGATTAATTGCTTTCTTTTAAAAATTGAACCATATTAGTATAATTAAAAAGTTTAATTCCTAATTTCCAGAGGTCATGAATTTAATAAAATTTGAGAAATAGTACACTTAACAGCTCTGAGTGAGGGAGAATTACGAAAAAGCATATAGAAGAAGTTATGATTAGAGGTCAAGATCAGGTTTTGAAGAGACAAATATAATCAGTGTATAATAAATACAATAAAGATTCATGGCATAAAATTATTCATATGTTCCCATATTGCATGTTAACAGCATGCTATTGAACTATTTACTTGAATGATGCAACTTATTACATTTCCCATCGCAAGACAAAAAAAGTCCTCCGCTGCGTTACTGATATAATTAATTCAAGCGCAATTAACTATGCAAGCCGCTCTATTTCAGTGGCATGTTTGTATAATATTACGACCCACAACGTGACAAGAAGAATGACACTAAATTTATGTCCGGAAACTCGGTTACGGCAGATGCACTTCCGGGCCGTAGGAGACGTTACGGACGCCGTCGCATGGAAAAAGATAATCCGTAAGACTGAGGGCCATTGTGCTGTTCCCCTCGGCGGTAGAGATAGCAGTTGACTCAAGCGGTCATGAGGGGAAAGGGTGCAAATTCTGGCTAAGGCACGAGCCTCGCATTACAACCCTCGGATACTTAATTGTTTAAAATTACAGGACAGGCTTCCAGGTGAACTTCATTGAGCTTATAAATATTCGTTCAAGAAAAATGTTGTATTAAAGTTCTAGGAAATGGTTGGAGATTATTCCGGTAAATTGAAGGAGTATAGGATTTTACAGTAGGTTAAAAAATAGAGTTCAATAATGTGATGATTTTTCATTATGAGAGAAGAACGAGAATTTTGTATGCTTTATTCAATTTATTCAGCGTATGGCCCTGGGTGAATTCGGATCATTTTCCTGTGTCGTCCCTTCTGGTGAAGATATTCACAATTTAAATTCAAACTTATTAGTGTATGAAATTTTTTATTTTCTACGTTCATTTTGCTTTTACTGGCCTTCAGATCAAATTGCTCCAATAAATGAGCAAATAAATAGCCGCTCTATTCCGTTTAGAAGAATAATTTGTCTGAAATATCTCCGTCTTTCCTAATCCCACAAGACCAAGCAGGTGAATGAAGAGCGATAATTCCAGCCGACAGTCAATTAAGCTTTGATTATTTCTCGGGCTGCTCCAAGGCAGACTCATTTAATTATCTACTCCTTTTAACTCGACTGAAAGAAATCAATCAATCGTGATTCGCTGATTTTTTGTCGAAGAACTTGGCGACCAAAAATTGGGAATATGACGAATCAGATCACGCGAAGTGTTTATCGGCGGCGTAATATTACATTGATAAAGAAGAATCATTTTTAAATTGAGTTTAAGATAATCACGAAAAATCGAAGTTGATGAGATCAACCATATAATTTCTATAAATCGAAGTTAATAATCTAAAAACAGTCATGATGCAAATTCATGGCAAATATTACATTAAGATCTAAACGTGCAGTCTTTCTAATATATACTGTTAGCTCAGTAATCAGGTTATTATATTCCATTTATTTCTAAAAATCACTCTCTAAAGTTTTCCATGTCAAATTCTATGAACCGATGAACTTCTTAACTTATGATTAACTAATTAGGGCCCGGGATGCCTTCACTTGAATTTGAATGAAGGAATGACATAATGAATGAGGCTTATATTGCACTGTAGTTGAGATAAAAATATATCCTTGTATTAGTGATAAGCATCCCGTATTATGCTCTGCCAATATACAAGCTATTGAATCAAAATATAAGCTTGAACCAAACAGTAGCCTATTTTCGGTTTATTACCCATCCGTTCGCGGCTTTGATGGGAACAAATATTATAAATAGACTATCTCTATAAAAAGATATAACATAGTATGAATAGACCATACGATAATTTCTCTATCACATCGTATTCTAGTCGATCAAAACCATTCTAGAGTTCAGGCATTGTCCAATTAAAAAAAAAACAGTCCAATCTAGCATTTAACAACAAACCAGTCAAATACACCACATTAGTAATTACAATTTGGTATTTCTGTTGAATCGTAGGAAAATTACCTCAAGTTTAATTTTTCATTCAATTCCGATACCCGTTGCTTCATGATTCTAACTAAATAAAAAATCAAATTCATTTAGTGATTTTTTTTAACACACAGCATTGGTATACAAGATGAGGACTCGAATGACCTCTACTCATTTACAGGCATTCTTCAAATATTTCAACAAACTAACAAGCAGGCTTGGACTCGACGATAATTAAATAAATCTGATACTCGCACGAGCATTCAGTCATATTTATGTCAAAATTGTCAACTCCGGTTGTAGAATATTTTGTAGCCGCGGGGTCGGCTCTTTTATATTCGTAGTTGGAATTTTTTATACGCGGGTAGAATTTTTCATACGAAAGGGGACAAATTTTCTTACCGCGCGAGGGGTACCTAGTTTTTTCCACACGAAAGGATACAAATTTTCCAACCGCATGGGGTGGAATTTTTTGTACGAGGGAAGACTAATTTTCAACTTCAAAGATGAAATTTTTCACTCGAGGTGAGGTAGATTTTCCAACTGCAAGGAGTGGAATTTTTCACACGATGAGTGACAAATTTTGCAACCGCAAGAGAAATAATTTTCCATTAGAAGAAGCCGAATATTTTGCAAATGCAACTGGCATTCGCGTGTTAAGAATGCCAAAATTGGCGAATATACTTGCTTTATTTGAAAGGCCCGGCATGAAAACATCTATCGTAAACAATTCCAAATTGATAACAGTCACAAGAACAGAGAGTTGAAAACTAAAATTCAGATAAAAATTTGGGTAGCCACGATTTTCATCTGAAGTCATTTACGGAACCAGAGCAATATTATTTTGCCCATATGCTATCCGATGAAATATTTCCAAGGTTGCATTAATTTTCACTCTTTACAATTCAAATAATATGAGATCATGCAGTGAGTAATATTTCATCCATTGTTCAGACTCATGTTTCTACCAAATACTGATAACCACAATTACATTTTGGAGTATCTCCGAAAAATAAAATTCTGTAAGAAGTTTGATTATCCAGAAAGTGAATGATGGGAGCCATTGAAAAGAATCTCGGGTGCATGTGCAGGTATGCAGGAGTGTCCGCATCTGCGGTTTATCTGTACAATGGCGAAGCAACATCCAACCCTCGGATCAAATGACATCGTTGGCATGGCACGTCCAATTCTTTTCAGTTGTCGAGCTGCTAGTCCGGTAGAGTTCACTAGGATGCTTGTTCCATTGGCTAACTTGGTTGGAGCCACAATTTATTCTTTGTTCACTTATTGAATTCTTTCTTTCCTGTGCTGGAGGATTAAATTTCAACGAAAGGAATTTTAAAGAACACTTGGTGAGCAAAAAAAAAAAAAAACAAGATGGAAGCTCCCTATAAAATTAACTAGGCAAGTAAATGAATAACAAAATGCGGTAGGATTGAATCATTGACGGAGGCAAATCAAGTAGTCCTTTAGAAAATACTAAAAAGAAAATTAATAAATTTCCACTTCAACATTTCAAACTTTTCCAAGTCTTGTGGCAGCACAAAAGAATATTTTTATCACTTTATAGTTACACCGCGACTTTCTATCTATAGTTCACTAAGTTGTGCACAATACGTTTGGCCGTATTTCACAGCCATCTAAGGAATAATACATTCAAGGGATTTTTTAAAGCATAGTCACCTTGGGTGGCCATGCGCAACAATACTCACTCACTAGATTAGTGACGGGCTAGAATGACATCGCGCACGCATTCTTCTTCAAAGAGAGCACACCTCAGACCTGAAACAATGGATCACCATGATATTTTAATTAATTGTTCCAATTCAATCGTTTCGCGGGGGTTAAGAGTTTATAATGACGCAAAGTTTATGGTTCCCGCCAATTTTAAAGTTAGCGAGGGTGCAGAGAAAGATTAGGAAAGACACGCGCTGGACGGTAAGCAGAGCGCAGCCAAGCACACACCTCACGTCACGCCTGCTCCCCGACTACTGATGCCCTCGGAATGGGTCTCGAGGGCAGCGCTTCATAACAGCGACGATTACAGTCTGGCTCCAGTCGAGCGGATCCGTCAGTAGCAGCGTCGAGGAAACGACAGCGTTTATGAACGGCCCAGTCATGGCAGAGAATATTGCTTTGCGTCTGTGACATTCTGCCGTCACAAAATCCTTTCATTATAATTTCGTTTTCGAAACATTTTTATTGAAAATGTCTATAGCAAAACATGGGAATAAACGTCAGAACGTAGTTTTCAGGTGAAGATTTGTTAATAACTTTGAAAGGGGTAATTAGTGGCCGGATTCATGGAATTAAAGAAGCATTATGGCAGAAAATTCTGATTATTCTGTTCTTCGTATTCTTAGAAACTAAAAAAAATTTAAGATATTATTTCAGTTTAGTTGAACTCACGTATGAAAATATATTTGAATGCAGTCTCTCCTCAAGCAGGAACGCTCGACTGCTTGAAGAAGTTCCATGCCAAGGTCTGGGTTTGTGATAACATGCATTTTACGGTCGAGTCCATGTCCCAAAAGACGGCATGCAAATGCCAAACGAGTGTCAACGATTCACATGCAAATACTTGAAGGCTTGGCGCAGCTTTCCCGCGGCCCACAACTTCTTGCGCAGCTCTCGCCCTCCGCCGCCATCTGCACGTGCATTCCATGAAAAAGACGGAGGCTTCACATCATTATTCGAGTCCATGATAATTTCTAAAATGTGATCTTCGGTCGCCCATTCGCTACCATCGGGCTGAAAGTGAGTTCACAAGCAGTCAACTATCGGAGAACAATGACCGCGTTAAACCTCTAGCACCGTAGGTCACTCTCCGGGAACATAACTTCTAATTCAAATTATATGTAAACTATTGATTGTAGCAACCTGACGACGTTTGTTCGCAACAGAGAACATTTTAAAGTTGTCGTACGTGGCGGCAACCATCAGTGCAGTCAATTTGGGCTAACTAGAACGTATCATTTTTGGGAAGTAGGCTTGTGACAATATTGCTCCGGTTACTCGTGTCAGGCGGTAAAGTGTTAAATAACTGAGGGGGTAATTTGGCTTCCTATTCGTTGATAGGTTTATTTATTATAATACAGAATTGAAAAAATCTTCTCAGAATTTTTTCACGCAATTATCGATACAGAAAACCGCGCGAATGAAAAAAAAAACGTGTTGAATTTCGGAATCTTGCATATTTGTGTCGGACGCACAGAGTGAGTCAGAATTGGGGTGAATGCTTATGACTTTTAGTTTGATCACGTTTTATAGAATTAAAACCGTGATAATAATCTGGTATATAGCCTTTCAGAACATCACAATAATACTCCGTTGCATTTGCCAGGTGTTTGAAATAAATTGATTCAACTCCTCGTCAATTCCTGCGCCACTACCTCAATTCCTACAAGGAAACATATTCGAAATCGTGCCGCATGTTCACTAATCATTACAATCAATCGATTTTTTGGAGTATTTTCAATCTAATCATGTATTCGATGATTACCAAACATTACGGATGCGTTGGGATTTACTTTTTTGTAGTTTAGAAGAAACTATAGATACCTTTTATTTTAAAATCTGGGTAGGCCTTGATTCAAGTCTCATCCCTAAATTGCATCTGCCACTCTTAAATTACTTAAATAGCTTGAGTTTATGGTTAAACTAATTCATCAAGATTTTTAACCTGTTACCTAAAAATTCTACTTCCCGAATGAAAATGCCTCTTCAGCTTTGGAGTCTAAAATACTAGCAGTGATGATGGCACATGCATATGAGATAATTAACATTGGTTCTGAAAAGGATAATTGTATATGGTCCATTTTAATCGACGTACAATTTTTATTTGCCTGGGAATACTTTTACATATAAGGTAAGTAATACATAATTTTAATATTGTTCTTATTGCTCCCGCTGTCGAAAAACCCGTTCCGGAGCCTTTCTTCGACATTCCCATTTATGTTCAAATGAAACAGAATAACCGTTTTTTGGATTTAATGGTTTATTAATATTCAACATTTAAATCGGTTATATTTAATAATAATTATAATAATAAATAATAATAATAATTTTCATATAAATAACTTTAGAAAAAATTTTGTAGTTACTTGATCAACTTGTTAATGTGAGTGTATATAGGAGCCTAATTAGAACATTTCTTTCCTATATATGACAAATCATGCTGAAAATCCCAAGTACGCAAGACAGTATAATACAAGTCTAAGGTTATATCCTCAAGTGCCAAACCAATTCAACTGTTTTAGTATTTGATGCTTCGAAAGTCGGGTAACAAAATTTGCTTGTGGGTAATAATTTGCTAATAATTCCGAGCAATACTTCTTCAAGGTTCTATGAACCAAGGCCGGGTGCAGTAAGCAGGCGAGCAGTGAATCGAGTTTGGTCTTGCTCAGGAAAAGAGGCCATTATCCGGGAAATTTTCTGTGACGGAGAACAATTGGCGACTGGCAATATAGCAAGTTAAGGGTCGTTCAAGGAGCAATCAAATGGGGGTTGTAATGCTTGCGACACATCAATGACATTCGCAGATCCTGGTTCCAGTTGATCTTGACTCAGTAACGTGGCCATGAAAACGGCGTCGCTCAGAAGTGAGTGCGTGATTATCATGAACAAGGCATATTTTTTACTTATCTAAAAGGATATTATTTGTCTGTGCAATCGTAGTGGAATTTCATGGCTCCTGCAGCTACCATTGAGATGTTTAATGTTTTTGCCGAGTAAAAAATCATTTTGGTTTATTACACTGTGTTTATATTGGGATCAAATATTACCTAATACTTCAAAGTTACCCACACCAATCGCATTTATTTCTTCTCAACAGAAAGGCTTCTATAATTGTTAGATATGATAATCGCTGAGCTGTATTTCCTTAGTAGGACTTGCAGTGAATAGGGCAAAGACCGAGTGCCTTAACATCATGCAAGATAGGTGGATAACTATTTTAGTCGTCAGATCGTATATAATATTATTGGATATTGATGGGGTATGAATAAAAGGCAAAGGAACTATACGAGGCAATTTGGGATAATTTTTTGTGAGCTAAAGAATAACAAAGAAGGCTTGAGCATAAAATTTAAATTTTCTTTAATACATTAGTTGATGGACGCATAAATATCTACATCTGTGCATGAAGGCCACTTAACTTATACGTTAATAAATAGCACAAAAAAACCGAGAGGCTCATGATCGCATTTCATCCGCTTTAACCATTAAATAAACTAAAAGTAATTTATTAATTTTTTCTTTAATGTCTGACATTATTCTTAAAGTCTTGCATATTTTAATGTCTGGCACGATATTATTATCTAAAAAAATATTCTAAAAATTATAGCACCAGAAAATGAAAAAAAATTCGTGGATCTTGTTCAATATTATGTTAATAGCGCTGTTTAATTATAAGCACTAAACTTATAACGGTTATCTGCTAGAAAAAGCACCCGAAGTCTCCTCTTGGCAGCCACACAAATAGCGCAGAATATTTAACTAATCCTGAACGAAAGAAAATCCAGGGAATGTCTTGGATTTAGCCTGTGTGTCATTAAGAGAGATATTATGAGGTCTGCAAGGCTGGTCTTCTAACCCTGGAGTGGAAAAATGTTGAAGTTTTCGCCGATTTGGCGTCCAGTGACAATGGAGGACCAAGCCTCGCACAAATCCTAATAATGGCCGCTTGTGGTAATAATTCGAAGAAAATTGCTAACTTTTTATTAAAATTATCCTTTTATTTTTTACGAAACTGGACATTTTATTTTCTGTGCTTAGTTTATAAGCAAATTATTATAGGACATATCTATTTTCATGCAGTATTTTATCTGATGTTGCGTGAGTTTTCAGTGCACAAATACAATTGCAAGCTCGCGCTCTAAGGCATTTACTCCAATAGCAATAGTTTACTGTTTTGAAGTACAATATGTTACGAAATTTAGCGCCTGACCGTTCCAACCATTCCATTTATCGCCATACCACTCATGTGATAACTCTCAGTGGTTTCAGTGAAATTGAAGATTGAATGTATTTTTAAACGAATTAGAATAAAACTATTAAAATGTGTGATATATTAACATAAATTTATTCAAACAAATTAGCCTTTTGCTGTAGGATTCAAATAATATTCGGCATGTGACATGGTTGTGTGATATTGTCAGTTTGAGGTTACCAAATACGTGACAACGAACTCGAGTACACATACCGCAAACGTTCTGCCGGCACCAAATATGACCGACCGATACCTAAATATTATGTTATCAACACTCAATTGCATTCAAATATGACAATGATAATTAATCACTAATATTTTCGTTTCATTTTTCAGCGTCGGATCATAGTCATCAATCATGGAAGCGACTTATTTATTTTTGTTTCTTACTGCACAGAGGCCAAAAATTGTGTTCCCTGTTGGTAATTTAAGTTCTAATTATGTTTTATTTCGGGTTTTTATTATATTTTGCCATCAATATTAAAGTTAACGGTGACTGAATGGCCACTCTGCCCATCAATCGCATAAAAATTTTATTCTCTGGTGGGTGTTTGAATTCCTAATTATCTTTTATTTTAGTCTTCTATTATATTTTGTCATAAATATTATAGTTAACGGTGGCTTGATGGCCACTGCCCATCAATCGCATGCGCCCCATGTATCACAGATGGGATGAGGGTCGTCATTAAGAGAGAGGGAAGAGCGCCAGCCGGAATAGAGGGTAATATAGAGTCGGCCTCTGCTTCCGTCATACCCTTTTATTTCACTGCTATAAACTTCAAGATTTGAT